AACCTAATATTTTGTTATACGATACAGTTTAATGAGAAATACACGAGCAAAATATAAAGTTTTCGCAACTTGGTCGGAGCGTCAGGGAGACCTAGTCAAACGTACCTAGTACCGTACCCTCTGCCATAGTATTCGTGATTTACAACATTGGAGCCTATACAGTTGCTTTATAAATTATTCAGAACTTCAGTTATAGATTGGAAATAATATGCGGTAACATCTTGCCCGACTTAGATTATTGTGATAAAAAACCAAACCACAAAAGGGTCTTTTGCAGCAATACAGAAATAGTAGGCAATTGGGAGATATCAACCCCAATTTAGTCATTGTCTGGCCAAACTTCGCAATTGAAAATAATGAGTATTGTGTCGAGCAAAAAGCACTACTTACAAAAAAGCTAAAACCTATCCCCGAGACAAGGAAAGTTCTCAATAAGAAGTTCATCCGAATGTCAAAGTTTTGTAGAATGTCTTTGTTCGCAAATATTCCGAAGAATAGGTCGGAATAGCTTATTCATTATATTGAGAAAATTTGATAGTAAACAGTAAATATTCTATATGTAGTCTGGCCAAATTTTCGCAACTTGGTCATGTTGTCATGGCGACTTAGTTAGATGCACCTTGTCAGCATTCCTCGGCTACAGAGTTTATCACAATTCCATGCTTCTCATCGTGGACTTGGTACATTCTCAGACCTTTCACCGGCATCTTCAGTGAGTCTCAGCACCAAGCAACACTTCGTCAAAGAGACAAGTGAAATTGATTTTTTTTTAAAGTGAGTAGGTTGTCAAGACTACCACTAACTCCTATATATGAGTTGTATTCACCCTATTTCGTGTAAGGTGATGAAGGACTGGTAGTAGAATTTACTCACAATGATATGAGTAGAGCTGACGTTTTCATTGAATTTCACACAATATTGGACTGCACTCTCGAGCTCACATAGGGCTTATTAACACACCAGGCGGGATTCGAACCATGACAGTTCAGCGTGTAAGCTCGATGCGTTAACCATTACGCCACATTGCCACAGTGCCCTTGGGTCATAGGGCAGATGTGAATTTCAAGGAAGGTCAGGAATTTTTCATATCACACTCTGTATTGTGATTGTCAATAGAGCAAACTTATATTTATTTGAACAAAGTGAGTCGGTTTTTGAGAGTACAAGTAAATCAAATAATGGAGTTGTATTTACGTTTAGTGTAGGTTTTGTGGAATCTCATCCATCCGAAGTGTCCTGATTAGTATCTCTTCGTGGCCCAATTAACTCGGAATAGGTCAATGAAATTGGAAATTCTGGTTTTCTAAACTTGTATGCCGAATTTGGCATATGTATATTACTTAATTGTAACCTATTGTTAAGCTATTTTATTGTTTTAAATGTGAAAAAACTCTGCATTTTTATTTCATCTAATTTTCCAGGCTCTTGAGGATTCAGAACTTCTACGTATGCTAGAATATGCCTTGGCTCATTGGCCAAACGAAGTATACGTTTCCTCATTGGATGAAGCTGTAAATCGATTGCTGAGCTCGAATACATACATATTCATTGGGGAGACAATAGAAATACGCTATCTATCTATGGTCATCTGCGATCTCTACACAGTGAGCTAAGGAATGTAATAATTTATTCCTATATTCTAGCTTAAAGAAATAGTACAACTTTTAGGTCTTTGTTACCAACTTGCATATTCATCTTATTTTTTATAGCATTTTTTAAAATATTTTCACAAATTTAACTTTAAAAACATCTTTGTATAATAGCTAGATTAGATTGAGTAAATTCAAGAATTTTTCTCATCTCACCTTTATCTTCCAAGACATTCGTCCTGTACTTGATGCAAATAATGAAGCCCACTATGAGATTTGTTCACACTAATGGTAGTCTCGAAAACCTACATATAAACAAAGAATAAAACAATATATTTTAAAGATAAGCCAAATATTATTCAGACCGTCAGGATAAAAGTTAATGAAGGTAATGATTTGTTTCACTTCATAGGAACATCAAAACATTTAGCCAAATCGTCTTTGCTGCATCAAAGTACTTATCTAAGTTTTTTTATAAATCTCGTCATATCTGGATTTTAGACTTATAATTTGAAGATAATACTATTTTGTATGTAGCAAAATAACTGTTCGCTTGCCCTGTGAAATTATGCAATAAATTATTTGGGTAATAAGTGAAAATAGGGTTTGCCATGGAGTG